CCTGTAAAAAAATATTAGCAGCTTCTAGGAAAAATGGGGTTTGACTGTGGTGTGATGAGCTTTGGATCCTGCGAAATCCCTCGGTATTATTTAGATAGGTGTTACCATTTGGTAACCTTTGTTATCTTTGTTAGCCAAACTCTGAAAGAAATCAGCAAATTAATTTTCCTAGACCTAGACTTTGATAAATATTTGTTTTAGCCTGTCCTAATGTTGACTCTACAAAAGTTTCATACTCTATGATTCACTGTTCTTCCTCCTTCCCCTTTTTTTGAAGGTTCTTAAAAAAGCATGGTGATTTGATTACTAATTGTTTTCATGCTTTAAATAAATTATCAGCAGTCTAATCACTATATGATCAGATCTAGCTGTAGGATCTGACCCTTTAATCCTGCTGGTGCTAGGTGTCTTTTAAATCCTGGGAAAGTATAGAAGCATCATCTCTTTCCCATGCTCTTGAGAACTGAATGATAGATGTGTCTGAAGCAATGTTGGCAATTTGTTTGGTAATAATGAAGACTGCTCTTGCTGCCTGATCCTGAACAGTTATATTTTTTTGTCATCTTCATCTTTCTCAAGTGAATCAAGACCAATCAAGCCAAAGGTGGAGGATGAAAAAATGTGATAATGATCAGGTGTTCAGTTTCATAGCTGAAGTATCTGAGATTTTTCTAAAGCAGCTATCCATTTCCAAAAGTCAGCATCTCTTCCAGCTCATGGTCCTGTTTTCCACAGCATCTGGTTCTGTCTTCGTGTGTACTTTTTTAAATTGCTGTGTGCATCAATTGTATTAATTCTTATGGGTAAAATTGCTTTGTCATCTGTTGGATTGCTAAGTGTCTCACTTTTCAGGAACACGTCTTCAGCAAACAGCAGGGTATGGCTGTATTTCCTATTAGTTTATTATTTGCAGGACTATTTGTTTATGTTTGTGTATGTTTGCAGGACTGAAAGAGGTGAATAATACACTGTAATTTTTATGTGATATAAAATGTGTGAAGGAAAAGAAGAAATTGTTAAAAGTAGGTACTTAGGAAACAATAAAGAAGTGAAAATTACTATATTCATAGTCTGGGCATAGCTCATCATTTTGCTTGTAGGGAGAAAGACAAGGTGTCCTTTCATTTCATGTATTACATGCCAGGTGTGATAAATTTGAGGCTGTTTCCTGGCTTCTCAAAAGATCTTTGTCTCTCTCTTTTCCTTTTTTTTAGTACTTTATCTTTCTCTGTAACCTCCTGATTATATAGCAAGAAACCAGATTCACTTATCCCCTCTTCCTACAGAAACTGAGGATGAGGTTTTTGAGTTTTTTACCTCCTTTTTTTCATATGAGTTACTCGAGTAGAGCTTGCTTCTTTAGCTGGCCATATCTTTTCTAGACAACACAATAAAATTGGCATTGTTCTTGTCAATGATAAAGCTTCTTAGGAAGTTCTCATCCCTGAGATCATACTATTCCTTAGATGGTTTGCTGCATTTTATAGGTACAAAAGAACCCCATAAAAGCACAGCAGTATTAGCATCCTGTAACTCAGGGTAAAATTATTGCATCAGATAACATTTGGAAAATTATCTGTGTTGAAACACACTTTTAGAAATGAACAGTTACATTCAGAAGGCTTCATAGTTATCTCCTCTCTGTATGCTCTGAAGAAGTAATTGCTCTTCACCACATAGCATTTTTTTCAGTCTTCCTAAATTTTCATTTTTTAACATTTATCATTAGCTCACTTTTTGTCATTCGAAGTCTTTTTGATAGGAAAAACATAAATGACTGTCATCCAAACTGCTTTGTACTATTTCAACTCTTAGCTGTCCATGCCAGCCTCTTGCTCCCTTTGTAACTTGCTAGTTGACCAAATCATTTTTCGGTTCTTCTATTTTATTCTGTTAAGTGCCATTTCTATTTGTTAACACTTTCTCATATTAAATGAAACCACAATCTTCCCAAAAGATTTGTTTCTTAAAAAAAATACAGTAAAAACTTAAAAGGAGAAAAATCCCTATGTTAGAAAGATACGGATAATTAACCCAAATAATTTTGGCCAAAGTTCCAGACCAATGAATAATTTCCATGAATCACTGGTCTAGCACTCTGGTGATGTGATTAGAGGACATATTCGAGAAACCACAATGCAAGCCAGACTCTGCCTTCTTAAAGCTATTGGGAAATGTTCTCAGTGTATTTCTTTCCCCGTGAGCGAAATAAAATCCTTCATTTGTTACTCTTCCCTTCTTCTCAAAAAAATAGCACCACTCCCAAAAAAACACAGTGAGGTTGCTGCGGATCTCAGTACGTGTCTTTCATCATGGACACTTTTAAGTCTTAATTCTATGTCCCATTCTTGAATTCTACCATGAAGTTTCTCTAATCTAAATGTTCCTTGTGACCAACTGAAACTCAGCCGGCTAAAGTGATCCAAAGCTTTTCCCTCTGCAAACTTCCTAAGTAGTGTCCCATTTCCCATCATCATAAATCAGTTGGCAACCTTCAGCACTCTAGGCTGTACCCTTCCTGAAATTTTATTTTCCTCAACTTCCATGAACTTCTCTTCTCTTGTGTTTCTCTTAATCCTTCTATAAAGCTCTTTACTGTTGTCATAGAAGTTGATAGTATTTAGGTTTCTAGTTTAATGATACATCTGCTTCTGATTTTCTTTTTTTAGGCACAATTTCTTTTTCTTTTACATAGATAATGCTACCTTTGGGCCAGGAAGAAACAAAATTGCCTCTTCTTGTTCTGTCTTTTTGTAGCACTTAACAGAGCACCATTTTGGCCTGTGGTTAGAGCTCCTCTGGGATAGCAGCAAAAGTTGTTTTGTTATTCCTAATTAAAGTGTGTCGAAACCAGAATTGAGGCCTAGGAGTTTTTATGCACTTATGCTAAAAGGTTCAACGTAGCACAATCCGCTGCAGAGCGGCAAAAGATACTGCAGGAATCTTGGTTACTTAAATTCCTCTGTTGATTCTGTGGAAAAAAGATGACTTTTTCTTGCAAAACTTGACTTCTTTCTAAACCAAGCGATAAAATCCATTGTCATTTTTTAAATATTTGCTTCTTGGCCAGAGGTCCCGTGGATAAAGCAATTGGTAGAGGGAAAAACTTCATGTTGCGTTTGAGTCATCTCTTCACTCAAAGAAACCAAACCAAGGAACTGTGTGAGCAGCAGGACTTTTGAAGTTGACTTGCTGTGGCCGTATATGAGTGAATTATCCTAACTAATGTTTGAAGATACCTTACAGTAAGGGCAGAAATTTTGATCTCTTTAAAGACTGTCAGTTACTAAAAGGCTTTGACATCTCTACTCTCTGTCAAATCTACCTGAAATTGCTCTGGAAATACTGGATGACTTAAAAACATTGAAACAGAGGGAGGGAAAGTGTAGGGATCATAACATAAATTATATCATCTTAAGAGCCCTATTTTCTTCGGAAGCATAGATTAAAAATCCTCCAACCCTAAGTATTTTTATTTTCTGCAGTCTGTAAAAATATATTTTCACAGCTTTGCATAGATACAGTGTCTTGAGCTTGTGGAATTGTGTTATCCCACATCATGCTGGTGTAGTCTGCCTGACCTTTGTGTCTTTGTTTATACCAATCATTTACTTGTATTCATGGAGTCTTGTAATAAATACCAAAGCTTCAAGTGAAATTAAGATTGTTCTTTTAGCAAATTACCATAACTATTATGACAACATGAAAATTGAAGAAGAGGAAGGTAAAGTGGCTTCTGATGGAGGAAATGTCAAATGACTTGAGACTACCAATATATCACTGTTTAATTTTCTACCATGATGGAAATTTCAAAGCAGAAACAAATGCACATTAAATCACATTAAACATAAAAGATAAAAGATTGTATTTACATGATTTGCAGAAAGCAAAACAAACTGACCACATCTAGTGTTAATATTGATAAAATAATTATATTTTAGTGTTTACTAGACATCAGAATAACTTGTCTTTCAGGAAATAGCTGCAACCTACACCTCATGCAAAATTAAATTAAAATAACATTTTTAACACCTTTATTTTAATTATCCTAACACCTAACCTTTTTTCCTAGTTTTAGTTAAGTTTTAATATGCCATATTTATGAATACAATACTGTAGGTTTATTTTTGTATTAAACTATTTTAGACTAATTGGTCTCAATTTTATTACTGTCTTCTTTCCTTGATACTGTAGTATTTTATGAAGAAATGTCCAGTGTTATTATGTATACAGTTGCTTTTTATATTTAACATAATTTGTATGTTTGCTTCAGAGAAAAATCGGTTATTACGATTTTAAATTAGCATGCTTTTGAATTGGTCATATCAATATTGGTTTGTGATCTTTTTGTGAGGATGGAGGGCGGGGACTGTCACACATAAGGCCTTTGCTACCCAGGATATTGCTTTGGCCTTACCACCTCTGATAGTGTTTTGAAAGTTGGTGGGTTTTTTCCTTATTTTTTCTGGGCTCCTTGCCTTTAGCATAGAGTGGGAGGAACAACACTGTCCCCACAGTGCATCGTATGGGTTCCATTTGTCCATACCCTTGCACCTTGCAGAAATACTTGTCTCTGGGGACCTACTGCCTTCAAGGCCGCTGGAAGTCTAGGGCTACACACAGCATCTGCCTGAAGACTTTGACTTCTTGGACTTCAAGGAGGCAGAAGCTAGGCCCTCACCAATTCACTTACAGTCCACGTTGCTGTGTCTTTCTTTCACTGAAAAGTACACCTGTTTGTGAAACTTCCTCACCCACCAACTTTCCCTTTTTACTTTCTAATTTCTTTCAACTTAGGCAGTTAAATGTTGGAGGAGATTGGTGTTTCTACAAATACTTGCTTCGGAAAGATACTGGGTGATCTGAAAATTTAAATCAGTATCTTGTGTCTTCTATAGAGTTAAAATATTTTAAAGCTTGAATATATACTTTTTACTTTTTTACTTTTTTGCAGATCCAGTCTTGCTTATGGAGTTGTTGAAGATCTGAGATCAATGAGAAAACATTTTTGCATGCAAAAAAGGATCATTTTGGTTTATCCATTTTAAAATCATCAATTGTGGCACTTGATGACTCATCTACAAGATTTATTCGCTCACATCTGAAGAACAAAGTGCTTTTCAACCTATACTTCTGTACACTATGACTAACTGTAAAGGCAGATCTACCATCTCCAAAACAAATAGGAAAGTTCATGACACAGAAGGTTTTGTAAACTGGACCATAAATCTTAGTACAATTCAGTCCGATAAATTTTTGAGGCTGCTTTTGAGTATGGTTCCTGTTGTTTACCAAATAAACCAGGATGAAAGACACAAAAAAGTGAATGGTATCTGGCAAGATGGTTTACAACCAGCAGGACACAATTTTAATGTTAGGTCTGAACAACACACAGAGTACCATCACTTCTCAGAACCAAGTTTTCATGGTAGTAATGGACACAGCCCATCTAGCTGTAGCCCTAAATATGATGATTTTACCAGTTATAATTACTGTGATGGTATGGACACTTCAGAAACAGATGCCATGTTGCAAGAAGACAACCTATCTAGTGACAGTAATGAAGATATCATTGTGGAAGCAAGTAGAAAACAACCCAAAGAATCTAGTAGTATTATGGCATTACAAATACTTGTACCTTTTTTGCTAGCAGGATTTGGAACTGTTTCTGCTGGAATGGTTTTGGATATTGTACAGGTTGGTATTTGCTTTGGAAGGTGTTTTTTTTAACAGATAGTCTGTGAGGTTTATAATTCTGATGTGTGATATTCTAGATGTTTACAATATTGAGGAGTAACTGAGTCTGTGTATGGTTCTGCTACTATGAACTCCTTTTCCCTAAACCTCATCTTTGACAGTTCCAATGTTTAATTTGGAGTCATTCAAGCCTTGGTAAGTGTTGTGACTTAGCCACCGTGAGCTGGTGAATGAAACTGTTACCTTCTGCTTTAACTAAGGATAGAAGAATAATAAGGGTTCAAAATTCTGTCGACACTAATAAATGTATACATAGTCAAGTGGGAGTTGTAATTAACCATGATGCCACACTATATAGGAGTTAAAAAAGATTAGAAGAATGTATTGCATTATCTCATCTCCTCGTGTGCTTCAAGTCCATGCAATTTCTGAAATACTGTGTAGATGTGGTCCATGATAATACATATGGTATATGAAAGTGTGCATTACATTCATATGCTATATGAAATTCCTATGGAGTGATTTAGAGCTTTTTTGAGTATTCAGGTGTATGCAAGTGACTTTTTTATATAACATTAGGTATTGCGAACACTTGGAATTACAAACATCAGTGGTGTGAACAGGGCTGCAAAGTCACGTCCACCTTGAAATATAATTCTAGTAGGTCCAGAGAAGCTGGATTATCTTTGTGGTAGCAGATTTAACTGATGATAGTTATTCAGGGCTAAGATAAATTAGAACTTTCTCTCGATTTTAAGACTGAAGTTTAATAATATTTTTGAAACCTTTTTTTGAGTATTATATCACTAAGACCTTACTGATATGGAACATTTTTAGGACTGGTTTCTAGTTTAACACAGTTGTAGATGTCAGCAGCATTTCAGCAGAGTTAGAAGTAACAGTTGCCTATGAAATAATTCTTTGAGCAGTCATATTTGAAGAAAATTGTGCAGACAGTAACAGTTAAGAAAGGTTTACTGGACTAGTTTATTTTCTTGCCTTCTCTTTGCATTTTGAAGGCTATATTTACTTTTATTTCCTACCTAATTTTTTTTACAAACAGAAATTTCTTATAAATGCAAACCTCATGAGTTCTCTCTTCCTGTATGAGTAGATTCACAACAAATTATTTAAAAATATGAAATAAGCACAATATTCAGACTGAAAGACAGTAGAGATATTAATCTGCTTTTTTCTTTTGTTTTGTTTCATGCAGCTTTAGGATTTTCTTTAGCTACACTTAAAGAGTTTACAAAGTTAAATTAAAGAGGGGTAAGAGGTGACAATCTTTGTCACTCAGAATCTTGAGAGAGTAAAGGAAGCTTCGACTACAATCAGTTGCAATGAAAAGACACTTTAATACATCAAGAAAAAGGAAAATAAAAATTGACATACAAACTTTACTGCTTCCTTGCACTTTTTTACACCAATCTTGTGTTTTGTTCATTTACACCTTACCAGTTTATTCTTTGTACAGATGCTGTGTTTGTACTCTGTTAATGTATGATTTATTGCATAACACAATATAATGATCAGCCAAAAGAGGCAGTTGAGCCTACTGTCACTACTGACTTCCAACCAAATGTTTCACCTTGTCTTCCTTCTCTTAAGGGAATGTGTTTGTATAGCTGATTTTTGAGCTGGACTGAGATATATCTTGATTTTTCCTTCTATATTACTTTTAATCTTTATTGGTTTCCCAATCCAGCTTACCATGAATAAGAGAGATGTGACACAAAGGCAAAAATAAGTAACTAGTGTCAGTACTACCTTTTTTCACCTTAAACTAAGCATTAAACTGCGATGTCAGTAAAGCAGGATTTTGAAATGTGACAGAACACGTTTTGAAGATGAAAATGTGAAGAGAATAAAGCATTCTAAGCTTGTTTTTTACAAACCATTTAATGGCTGTTCTTTCTCAGTAGTGAATACATATGTAACTTCACATATAGGTAGTTCTCAGATCTTGTTTACATTTGATAGTTGAATCCTTTTATTTTAATTAAAATAATAATTTAAATGATTGCAAATCCCTGAATACAAAGACAATTTACAGTTTTGTTAGTTTAGTTAAAGTTGGTAAATGATTACAATTAAATACATGGATTGACAGACACACAAAGTAGCATAGCATTTCAGTGCTGAGAACTCCGTGCACAAAAAATTACGGGAGAGTTTGCTTTATAAAATCTGGGTTTTGGAAAACCGTACTGTTTTAAATTTCACACTTAGAAGTAAAAGAATAAAGAAAAGCATTTTTCACTTACAGACTCTGTTCATTTGACAACTAATTTCTTGCTGGTTTTGTTTGAGGTTTCTACACAGCTGGGAGGGAAAAGATGAAAATGTTGTTATAAATTAGGAACAGAACTTGAGAACAGTCCTAGTACCTGGTACTATTTTAAAGTCATGAAAAAAAAGACTTCAAATTACTGACATCTTTTTTTAACCAGGTTTGTTTTAAGGCCAAGTTTTGTATCTCTTTTGATAATTTCATCTTTGAAGTAGTAATATCCAGTCATAAATCTATTTTATCTAAATAGGTAACAGTTCTGGCTTTAGACTTTTAGGTCTAATATAAAAAGATTAATTTTCCTTTTTAGATGATTAAGTTATGAGTTACAGAATCTTTTGAAGACTTTGCAGATGGTCTAAAGAGAACTTTTCAATTGAATGTTTCCCACTGTATCCTTTATGTAGCACTGGGATGTGTTCAAGAATGTTACTGAAGTTTTTATCTTGGTTCCTGCACTTCTTGGTCTCAAAGGGAATTTGGAAATGACCTTGGCATCCCGGCTGTCAACTGCTGTAAGTAACTTTCTCTTCCCCTTCGCTCTTCAGATATATGTTGTAAATATTTCAGAAGGAAAACAAATCTTTGGAACACAAATAGTTTATGTTTATGGCTTAATCTGACTGTTATGGGGGCTCTTTGAATCTCTTATTAAATTGGCAGTTAAAAAGGCGACCCTCTTCTAATCTCCACACATTAAAATTTTACTTCTTCAGTCTCTTCTGAGTCATCATTCAGAACAGATAAAAGTAGATTTTTGAGATTTACATGTGTGTTCTGTAAGGTTGACAGATTTCTTTGGCCTTGAGGAAATTTGAATAGGCTAACAAAAAGTGTGTTTTCAACACATTTTTCTAAAGACCACTTGTGTGACACCAAAATAAAGCATTACTAACATTGCTACTCCAGACCTTTGTTGATCAAACTGTAAGAAACTCTTTTGTAGCTTTCTGGCTAAATAATTTTATTCCTTTTTTTTGGTGGTGTTTTTTGGTTGGATCTGCTTATTTTTTGTGTATGTCAACACTGTAACATAACATAACTAGGTTTTTTCTATGTCTTCTTTCTTAAATATTTATTATGATTCTTTTCTGAATGTCAGGGGATGTTCCATCCCTTCATTTTTCTAGCCTAAGGAAGCCAGATTACTTTACCATGTATATTTGTGTGTGTGTGAATAACTATAGTGAACAGAATGTTCTAATAATGTGGCTAAACTATTTCTGGTACCTGAACTGGGTGTCTCTGTAAGACACTGCCCATGCAGTATTTCTCCTTTGTAAGATAATTTTTCCATTCTCCAGCAAGGCCTCTGCCCTCTGCCTGTTCTTACTTGAATGGATCTTTCCAGAAAATGTTTGGTCAAAGGTGTATATAATTGGCTTTGGCCAATTACTATGGCTTTGTAGAATAGTACTTCCCTATTTCTCTTGAAAATTGCTCTTGAAACTTTCTAGGTTTATATGTACTATTTGCCTACCAGTGTCAGATTGAGACCTCACAGTCACTTTGTGATCTATTACTGTGTGCTAGTATTTCTCCTTTTGTGTTATTTCCAGCTGTCACTCCCATCTTCTGGTAGAAATATTATTAGCCCATAAGTGCATGACCTTGCACTTCTACTGTTGAATTTCATCTGTTTTCATTGCTATAATCAAGGTCATTCAGGTTTTGTACGATATTACAATGCTTTGTATTGACAAGGTCTCCCAGTTTTCTGTCATTAATAAATGTCATTGCTACATTATATTGAGTTATTGCCCAAATGCACACAGTGATGGACATAGCCTTAGCAGTCGTATGAAGCTTTGCTTGTGTCGTGCCCATTATAGAAATCGATTACTTTTGCCCCATATCCGTTCTTTCATTCGTAAGAATTGACATGTTTAGTTGTGTCTTTATCAATGGCAGCCTTAGCAATTCAGTCTTGTTTTCTGTCTGATTTTAATGCTCTTACTTTTCTGAGTATTCTTACTGTTCCTTAACAATACCTTGTGTTTAAACCTTACTGTCTTTACTGTCAGGCATGAATACTTTTGGTTTTTACCTTACTTTTTTTTTGTGTTGACCTGTTGCTTAATTTGTTCCTGACTGGTACAGTTCATGGCCTGAGCATTGAAAGTACACCAAGTCCAAGATCTACCAGTGCCTTACTGAAGGCTTAAAAAAAAAGGATCAGAATCAGCTCCACCACTTCTGCTTCAGTTAATGAGATCTTTAATTCTTTGTCTCAATTGAGCTTATGACCTTTTCCCGATCAGGACTCCAGAACTTCTCTGGGCTAATCAATGGCTGATTTCCCCATCCTCAACAATGCATTTGTGAACCTACCTCACAGCTCTCAGGGAACATTTAGAAAAGGGTCATGCAGACCCTCATCCTGCACTGGGAATCCTGACCTCGGTTCTTATTATCCATCAACTGTTGCCAAAAGTCAAGGAGCTGATCCTCCTCTCATACACACAGATAAAGGATACTGGCATTTCCACAGTACTGGCTGCATGTTCAGTGATTAACTAAAGTTGGCATCATGAGGTTCAGGCCACTCCTTTCAGCCCAAAATGGCATTCTGCAGAGTATCGCCATAACTGTGTGATAACATGATCTGTAGATGTCTTGAACATGATTTTTCAGAGCCAATATGGCTATTTGAAGCCCAAGCTCTTGCCAAGACTCAGTCTATTCTGAAAGGATTTAGTTTGAGGAGTGTTTGTGTTGACCTGTTGCTTAATTTGTTCCTGACTAGTATAGTTCATGGCCTGAGGATTTAAAGTGCTTGTATTGCACAATGGAAAGTACACCAAGTCCAAGATCTACCAGTGCCAATCTTCAGTCCTGTCATCCTCATCCTAGGTGAAAACAGAAGGAGTGTATTAATTCAGAGCATATCTAAACAGTTATTTGGAGACAGTTGTATGATTAATCTTCCCTTCTCTGACCTAGATTGGCACTAGCTGGCTCCCCACCAGATACTGCCTTTACAGTAAATGGAAGACTGTGCCCCTGTGAATAGCTTTACCTTTTGAGGAGGAAATGTCTAACATGAGTTCAGCATTGGAGCTAATTCATACCCTTCTTGCTCAGTTAGCTTATAATTGCATCTGAATTTGTAGACATGTCTATGCTCTTGGGGCTGTAAACTAATTACCTTTACTTCATTGCAATTATGTAGTCAGCCAAAAAGTAATTTCTTGTTAGCAAGATTCTGTTATCCATAACACACCTGGTTTCAAGTGTTGTCTTGTCACCTTCATTAATCTTGTTGCCCGAATTCCTACTTTAGCTGCTTCTTAGTGGTCACTCACAATTTGCCATCCACTTTAGAACCAGTCATTTCACTAAATGTGTCGCAAGACTGTGTTTTTAATCTACTCTAGGACATAGCTTGTACTTCTCTTTGGTGTTAGTGTTAATGTAATCCCTTCTCCCTCCGCCCGCTGCTGTGCTGGCATAGCTGTGTGAGGTGCACTTAGGTCAACTGCTCATTCAAGCACAATATTTATATTGTCCGTTTTGTATTCTTCAGCTTTGTTCTGTAGTTTGGGTCACTCTCCTTCTCTTAGTTCACACTGTTCCCTTTTCTCCCTAATCCTTTTTCATTTTTTAAGAGAAGGTAAAAAAAACCAAACCAAACCCCAAAAAATCCCCAACATCAAAACACTACTCATCCAGTCATCCCTGTAAACTTATGCAGAGTCTTGTTTTGCCTGTGTGTTATCAGGGTTAGGCATTAGCAATATGACTTTACAAACCTTTTGTTTAGGTCCACAGTATCACAATAAACTTGATCTTACTTTATGGAAGTCTGCAGCTGAAAGGAGTGGTCCTGCTCTTTTTTCTCGTTTCCAAACCCTAAAAGCATTTGTGCATGGTTACATGGTTGCATATGATGGATCAGATGATTTTGTACAAGATAACTCCTTTTTGCTCCCTGAAAAAAAGCGTTTTCCATCAAACCAGCAAGCAAATTTATGTTGTCGTGAGCTCACTTATGGAGTTAATAGATCTGATTCAAGAAAGAAAACGTGAACATGAAGCTGGTACTAGGGAAGAGAAGAGCTACGCCATTTGGCAGCAGCTCACTTTTAGGCTGGATTAAGCATTTTGCAAGATTGCTGTTTTAACAGGGATTTTTTTGGATACTTTTCCAAAATTTCTTCAAAGGAGAAAAAGAGTGAAGCTCTCTGTACCCTCCCATTTTGCTCATTTAGCATGTATACTTAAGAAGGATGCAAAGGATTCTTACCTGTACTTGCTTAAATAGTACTGTAATATTTAAACTTAATGCATGGATTTGCGGAGCTTTGACTGTACTTTGAACACTGTAAAATGATTATAGTGTAGACTGAGATAAAATACCTTATTATATTTCTACATTTTTAAGTTAGCATTTCTTTTAGTACTTTGTTCCTCACAAGTCGCTACTATTACAAAATGGAAAAGAAATGGAAGTAAAACCAACTGGAAAGAAATCAAAAGATGAAAAATACATATATTAAGACTTTCTGTGTTTTGAGAAGTATGTTACCTTATAAATTAGTATTCCATGGGAAAAACCACTAAAATTTGTGCTCAACATGTAAAAAACTGTTCAGTTACCTCAAAAAGGAAGTTATTTTAATCGTAGTCATACTTCAGTGGTATGTACTGTTCTTCAGATCTTGTCCTCTAACTCAAAAAAAAAGTAAAAGTAGGAAATGGATTATAAAAGAGTATGTATGTACTTTGAATAATTTATTTGCTGTTTTTCGAACTACTGCCTTAGGACTGGACTTACGTCATTTAGAGCATCATAAGTCTCTAGCTGTATAGTATAAATGAAAATTTAGAATACTAAACAGTATCAGATGTGGTTTCTGATCTTGCATAAGCACTTGCAGTTTCTCTATGCAGGTAGTTTCGTTGCGATCAATTAACACACTTGCATGAGCATGTGTGTGTGCACACATACATGTATCTACACATTTTTCTATTGGCTAATAGAATTTAAGGACCATAGAAACGATTTCAGTTTAAAGTGACTGAACACTGAGAAATTTCCCTTCCAGCCACTGATCTAATCACTGGTGATGCTCGGACATTGCTGGAATGTAATGTGCACAGTAAGCTAATGTTAAACAAGTTACTATGTAAAAGTGCATCAGATTTAGCTACTTTTGGATAGACACTGTAAGTACAATTTAAAATGAACAGAAATGCCTGACTTGAAAAAAGAATAACTTGGTTTTAGCTTGCTTTCAACATGTCTCTTTTCTTTGTATGAGTTGAATTATTTGTGGATTTCTGCCTTGTTATCACATTTTCAAGTAATACAGTTTTAAACCCAGATGTCTGAAATTCTTTTGTAATTCTGACAGGTAAATATTGGAAAAATGGATTCTCCCATTGAGAAATGGAACCTAATAATTGGCAATTTGGCCTTAAAACAGGTAAATACGATGGATTTATTTGATTAACTCTTGTGAGTGAGTGAAGTTACTGTAAAAGTCCATCACAAACATTGGTAAGTATGGAGATGGACAGTGTTAATGGGAAACTAGCTCCACTACACTGGCTCATACTTAACATACAATATTTGCATGATGATTTTTTTTGAACAGTGTAGTTCTTCTCTAAAACAATATGAGCTTATATTTATCAGGAGAAGAGGTAAAGTATTCTTCGTGACTGCACCAAGGGTATTTCCTTTTTAATTTTTCTGAGAGAGGATCTGAGGGTGATCAGAGAAAAAATTCAGATTTGGCAAAACCTTTTAAATTTGACCTCTCAAATGTTTTCAGTACTGTATTTACATTGGATTTAATGTTTAAAGGAAGTATGTGATAGAGCTTTTGGATAATAAACAATATTTTAAATAGCTGCGTCATTTGACGAAAGGGGTGCTTGTTCTCCAAAGCAACTGTTTCTTAAGATTAAGAACTATTTCATGTTGATATGTGATAGTACAACATGCTCAAAAAATAGGTGAAATGTTTATGTGTGACTTTGCTGTTTTAAGTGGCTTAGGGGCCTCTTCAGGCATTGGCTTCTGATAAATCCTCAGCTCTTTTCCCTGATTTTACTTTTGTTATTCTTGAGTCTCTGAAATGCTGGTAAAGGCTTTTCTGCTGGCATAAGATTTTTGTTCTTGATCATCCAAGGTTATCATCATCTCTACAAAATGGATGAGCATTGTCCCTTTACACCTTGCAAATAACTGTAGCTGGGACAAAAGAATAACAGAAAATTATTCTGCAGTCGTCTTAAGTCTATCAATTATTTTAAGAATTCTTCACTTTCTTTTTCTTTTCCAGGTTCAGGCAACGGTAGTTGGTTTTCTGGCAGCAGTTGCAGCAGTTATATTGGGCTGGATTCCAGAGGGCAAATACCGCTTTGATCATTCAGTCCTCCTGTGTTCTAGCAGCGTAGCAACTGCCTTCATAGCTTCTCTTTTACAAGGTAAAAGGAGTATATATGTTACTTTTTACAGTTATTTAGTTTTCTGTGGAGGCTGAATGTATATTATATTACTATTCCTTACAAATTTAAATCCAGTAAGGTATAATGCATCTGGAACACAGTTGAGGATACGGTAGCCTTTTGCAGTTTCCATATAGGCCTGCATATTGCATTCCTCTCCTGTCATATTCTTTGGAAAGGTTCTGATTTGCATGACCTCCCGAGCATATCTAAACCAAAAAGTATGGGTTTTGATTTTACCTAGTATGATGGAGAACTTTTTTCTCCTGCTTTCTATTTTCATTAATGTACAAAATATATTCTTAGTACTAAACAGGTAGAACTTATTTGTAGTTAAACTCAAGTGAACCTGGATGTTAGCTTAGCTGAATACAAGGCTCCTGGTTGCCCATACTGCTTATGTTAGTTTGTGCTCTGCTTTGTGTCCGAAGTGAACAAATGGGCTTGTTATGTGAAGGATTTGAGCCAAGTTCAAGTCCCCCTCTACAAACAGTGCCAATGTCTGTCTGAAGCCATATGGCGTGATGAATTTAATCTTCTCTTCCCAATTGTCAGGAAACATTTGACCATAAAAGACAGTACTTAATGGACATAAGAGGGGAAAAAAGTACCTCCACTTGTGACATATTCTTAATGAAAATACATAGTCAAGTAAAATGTTTAATGTCCTTTTTTTACTAATTTGATAAGCTTACTTATGTGAAAATTACAAAATTGTTATAGTTTTGCGTGGAATTAATTTTTTAGTGACTACAAAGCCATTGAGTTTGATCGTGCACAGAATTAAGAGCAGCAGGAGAACTGGGGAACATGAGTGCATTTTTTCCACTTCTAATGTATTATTTGGACATGAAGAGAAACTTTTGTTGTTACCTGGTGATGGGCCAGCACAGGAAATTACTTTCTAAGCTTCACCCTCCTACACATGAAACATGTGCTTTTGAAATATTGTGACCCTACAGAATCGTTTCAGTTCTTTCTTTTGAGAATTTCATGGAGTGTAACTCTTTAGGCCGTTTCTCTGAAAGTGAACTGCTAATGTAGCCTATAATACATAATATTGCTAAAATACATGAAAATTATAATACCAATTATTCAAAAATTCTTTAAAATAACATAAAGGATAGCATACACAGTTGAAGCTCTTATGTGTATTATATGATGAGAGGGAAACTACTCAGGTTATGCCAAAGACGACTGTTAATAACAATGTGAATTTTATTTTTAGTAGCCTGTTGCATAGTACAGGGAAATGCCTCTTTAAAAGTTAGTGTGGCTGTTTATAAGAAGAAAAATTGAAATCAGCATCCCTAATTTAAAATTTTTTAACTATGTAGCAAGTAACATTTTTATATGTTATCTTGTTTTTAATTTATAATGTAACTTCTTGACATTTGGTGCTAAGTCCATGACTGGAAATCATGCACAATATCAGATGTCAAAGTATTTAATACTATGTTGTTTTCAGCCTAGCGTAATTTAAATTTCAGTCAGCAAAAGTTAATAGGGTGTAGAAATAGTATACTGCATATTTTTTTTCTTCAGGAAATGACTGATTTACAATTTCAATAGTGCTAATTCTAACCATAAGCAAAATAGTTCATTGTACAGATGGTTCTTGATTTTATTGTGTGTGTACTTACTGTATTTTTTTAATATATAGCCTCATTTTTAAAAATGGTTAACACTTAAGAATGCAGACATCAGATTGTAAGAACAATCATCCTGGGACAACAGCACTGACTTCTTATTTATTAAGTTTGAAATTGCCATTATCTTGGAATTTTCTGTGGAGTTACAACAGTAGATATGGTTACTGTACTGTCGTCTTTGTTGAATCTAGGAATAATAATGGTTGGAGTTATTGTTGGATCCAAGAAGACTGGTATTAATCCTGACAATGTTGCCACTCCTATAGCAGCAAGTTTTGGAGATCTTATCACTCTTGCTATACTAGCATGGATAAGTCAGGGTCTTTATACTTGCCTTGGTAAGTATGTTTCTAAGTGTGTAAGTCTCCCTAGGAACCTCTTTTGGGTTAGGAGGGTGGGGAGAGGTTCAGAAAAACTTTTAGTTTGATTTTTTTTGTCAACATTTATACCATTGAATGATAAATCTTAGGTTGCAATATTATGCCATGATCTTTTTTTTTTTCTTTTTTTTTCATTTTTTTAAGATGATAGAAGTCACTACCCACAATCTCGGCACAGTCTACTAATAACTGAAAGACTCTTACTTTAACTTTATCACAGTCAATCTACATGTGAATTGGAAACTATAGTTGCTGAATTTACTCTGCTTTCTTGGGGGAGAGGGAAGCTGTTTTCATCCAAGTTTTCTTGAATGTCCACCCCTAAATCAAATATTTGCTTCCCAGAGTCCTTTTGAATTGTTCTCCTCTTGCACTGAGGGGAAGGAGTTGAATTTTATATCTTGATAAGCTGCTGGGAGAGTTCTTCTTTGAGAGTTTTTTTTGTTAGGGTGTGGTTTTAGACACTATTCAAATACATCTTAAGCTGCAGCTATGCCCAGAAATCAAAATACAAATAATTTACTCAAATTACTTAATTTGAGTAACAAAGCCAGTTGACAAGTATGTATTCAAAGAAGTGAAGCCTGATTTTAGATAGATTTGTGCTTTGTGATTGCTACGACTTTTAAATGAGTTACGCAAAGACTATTGTGAGTTTCCTTCTGATTCCTTCCAAGTGCTTTCCAGCTCCCATTGCAATTACTTTCTTGTTCCCTCATCTCCCCTACTCCAGCTTCCAATACCAGTTTCCTCAGCTCTTTCCTATCTCTTTATCTCCCTCACCATGTGACAATTCCATGTCTCCCTGCTGTTCCCTGCACCTGTGTTTGATTTTACCAATGTTTCTTCTGCTTTTCAGTAAAACAAGTAACCACTTTCAGCTTCTCCAAATAATGGCCCTGCTCTCTTCTGTTGTCTTTGTTTTGTTTTGTCTTATAAATTTTGTGGCTGTATTTCAAACATAAATCTGCTAATTTAGCTGTAGCTTTCTTCAGAACAGCAGTTCTACCATGAAAGATTAAAAAATGTATAACCACTCGGAATAGCTAAGGAGCAAAGGAGAGGTCTTTGTTGACTACTGACTACAGAGGGCAATGATCTAATCCTACTTCATGCACGAATTCTGTCTCACTTCTTGATGACCTTTTTTTACTGTTTGCTTACTTTCCCACTAATAGCTGTGAACCGGTGAATTATACATAAACAGCTCCAAACTAATTTTCTTATGACTCTTTTTTTCAGTCTACAGTTCTTCTTTTCTACTAGTTATTTACATGTTTCTGTAGTCCCTTTGAAACTGTTTTTCTGATTTCTAAGACCTGTACTGTCTAAATCCTGCTCTCTTAAAGGAGCAGACCACTGAGGAAGGTTCATCATCACAATGTCTGCTAAAAATGAATATGACTATAGTTATTATTAGAAGCACGCTCAGATAGTAGCTGATGTAATGAAATGCTTGATTGTCACAGAGGAGATCTGAGCTTGGAAAATGAGCATGAAGAACTCAAAAATCAGTCTTTTTTTTCTGCTTTTTCATGTCCCCCATGAATAAGTAAAAAGTGTGAAAACATGTTATTACAGGAGGAGAATAGTGTTCAGAACAATATTTAAAATTAAATTATTGCTGCAGCTGACTCCTTCCATAGAAACTATTTAAAGTATATTGTGCTTTAAAAGACATAATTGTAGACAATTATAATATAGTATACCACAGGCCAAATTTTATGTTGTCCTTAATTGTTTTACCAGACATGTTGATATCACCACATATATTGTTTACATCCATGTTCATTGTTCAAGCCTTTTTATGTAAAAATTTTAGCTGTTCTGTGTAAGTATTGCAGCATCAGTTAGAAAAGGTATCTAATAAGACTCAAGCTACCTTGGTGTGACTTGCCATTTTGTTTCTTAGTTTTCAAATGATGATTTTATATTTTCAGTGTTTGATTTTTCATAGATAGAAGGTGTTGACATGATGTCAGCTTAAATGTATCAGTGTGCTATACAGCCATTTTTTATATTTTCTTTATTTTTGTTAAAACTTAAATTGTATTCTTTATTTCATAATGATATTTAAATACTTCATATTATGTTCTACTAAAATAACCCATTTCTCAAATACTTCCTTTAAATACTTCTTTTAAGGAAGTTTATAGACTTACAGTGACAAGAAAATTGGTAAAGATTTTTTAACCTCTTTTCTTTTCTCTGATGAGAAAAACAGAGAGGAAGCCTCTGTTCTCATGAAATTTGGTGTCTCTAGCTAATGCTAGGCTGGGATAATAATTAGAGTTTAGCTCATTAGAGACTGCTTATCTAGATTTATTGCTATGCCCAAAAATCTTACTAAACTGGAACATTGGGTTATTCTGCTTAAAATAGATTTCAGGTCCCAACAATTGATATGTTTGGAACTGATTGGAGTTCAGTTCAAAATTAGGGTTTATGTTGGTCAATGACATGCCAGGGAAGTTGGTATCCCAGCTAGATGGGAAGGAGATAGCTAGGAGAGAGTTAGCTAGGATTATTGGCATATACTAGCTGTCTGGGTAGCTGTGGAGTTGGAAGAGGTTGCCAAATTTGGATTAACACTGAGATTAGTTTTGGGGCTAGGGTTATGATTAAAATTTATTCTGGTTGGAACCATGTCTGATTTAAAGTAATTAATGCTGGACTTCAGGCTTTAAATGTTAACTAGCAAGCATTTCAAATTAAGTTTCTTAGAAACTTATGCCCTATAGGTCAAACTTCATTTTGGTTTTTAAAATTTTGCTTTGTTATAAACTACATGGCAATGAATATGGCAGTGATTTTTTCATTTGTTTCCATTGTAATGCTCTCTATATAATTGCCTAAGTTGAACCTATATGACTCAAAGACAGTAAAACATTAATACTGAGTCTGACCGTTTTTAAACAGCTTCATCTACTCCTTTCCATTTTTTTTTTCAATTGTGGCCACAGGCAAAACTTAGTTACGTGCGCTGGTATTTTAATAGTACCTGGATTTTAATAGTAGCTACATTTGTCATTTGTAAATAACAACATATATTATTTTGTGACTATATCTAGTACTGCTTCCTATGCTTTATATAAATTACAGATAATATGTTTCTTTTTTTAAAAGGAGTAACTAATTACTACTACTATTTCAGTTTCTCCTAAAACATGCTTTTTTTTTTACTCTAAAAACAAACCAAACAAAACCAATTCAACCCCAAAAAGAAGATGGGGAAAGAAACTTGGACTTCTTTCTTCCCTTCACACATTTCCAGAAATTTACATCTCTAATTACAGATGGCCTAACATATCTCAGAGGAACAAAATAAGAGGTAGAACCAGTTTGAACTGATCCTTTGCTACTTTTACAGCTGTCATGGCCACTCACATTTTAGTCAGCCACTGCAGCGGAAAAGAAGATCCCACACGTGTGTAGGGGGAAGGATTAGTGCGCTCAAGTATGCTTCTAAGAGTTACTCCCAATTTTCTTTCTATATGGTCTTCTGGAAATACTTCTCTTTTGGTGATGTATGTAATTATCTAGTTACCACAAAAATGGTTGCTTCTGCTTTTTATATTTTTTTTTTCAATGTCTTTGTATTTCTTTCTCTTAGGAAATAGAGAGTCCTTCTAAAGTAAGAGCATACCACAAAGCCCTTGGAAATGTGTGGTTTCCAAGATGCATGTATTTGAACTATGAAATAGTAACAAGGAATAAAAGTATGGAGTAGCTTCTGCTCAGGAGAGGTATATAAAGTTGTGAATGGCAGGGAAGAAGCATTCACAAAATGATTAGGCAACAGGTTAAAAAAAAAGTGAAATAAACTTTTTTACACAATACTTGATTGGGGTGTGGAACTTACTGCCATGAAGTATTAAGAGGACCAAAGTGATTTTAGGAAACTATTTGGATTAATTAATCACAGAAGAATCCATTGAGGAGTATTGAACAGACAGATGCAGACAGAAACTTGAGTCATGAAATCCCTGAGGCAAGCAGCAGCAGAAGCTGGCAGAGCACACTGAAAGAAGCATCACTGTGAAGTTGGCATTTTCTTTTCTTCTTTCCACAAGCCTGAACTGCTGACCGTAGTCAGACACAGGATACTGGACTAGATGAGACCTGTGGCCTCAGCCAGCACAGATGTTCTTACGTTCTTTCTGTCATTTCCCTGCTTTCTCAATGCCAGAATAACAAGCACAATGGGAATGTTATAAAGGAACCCACAGCTGATGGGCTAGTAATGAAACAGGTGGGATGCACCTCTGAACTGTATTCTGACTTAACTATTTTCCCCTGTGATTTATTAGCCTCATTATTCAAGTGTACTGAAACAAAAGTGTAAGTTTCTGGCTGCTGTCTGTATGGGAAGAGTTGTTTTCAGGTAACAAGACTGGAAGCGGGGGGAAATGATTTATGTGCAAGCTTTATGCTTGTCTGTAACAGAGCTGTACACCCGTACTCAGCCTTTGGTTTGATACGATGCTTCATGGCATACCCTGAACAGGCAGGGAAAAAAGACTAGCGTTTTTACCTAGGCTAAGGCCAAATGAAATGTCTTATTTGGCCGTCATCATACAGACAATTTCTTAAAAGCTCATCTGAGTGCTTTAAAAATAACGGCAAAGCTATCAAACATGGGGATTTAAATAGTAAAAAGTTAACAGTTCTTTCTGTCCTAACAACTGCCCGAGAAGCACCATAGCTGTGCCTTGGGGTGACACAGCTGGGGAGAGCACTGGAGGGCTTACCAGGACCGGCACTGGCACCCACCTCCTCTTCCTCGGACAGAACACAGGGAATGCTCTGGAGTGGGAAGACCCGGTATATTAAACATGGAGGGCCGTGTTGCTTGTCATTTGTCAGTAATGATTTGAAGACTTCATTTAAAGCTTTCCTTTTTTCTCACAAAAGGTGGCTTCAATATATGCATTTATCTCTTGTGCGTGTTGGATCCGGGTTGAGAAGACAAATTGTGCAATTCACATTATTATTTTCAGGTTCCTACCAGCTGAAGTAGTGTATTTCCAATTTACTCCTAATTCCTACTAGAAGTTGCACTGTTTTCAGCAGCACTGCACTGAACATTATATCCCAGTAGATACTCTGCAGAAGGAGTGAAATGTTAAGCATCTGAGTTCTCCAAACTAGAAGATTGATTTATATCATTGTTTACTAAAGGGATAAGGGCTTAAAGTAATTGAAGATCAGTAAGGACTGAGTTGCGAACCTTGTCTCTTTCCTCTTCCTTCCTTCCTCTTCATTTAAGGTCACAGTCAGGAGTTCATTGAAGAGTTGAGTGCTTTTAGGAGTTGATCTTCCACTGTGGGATAGTACAAATTCTATAGCAGAGCCAGGTAGAGAGAGATTCCTTTTAAGGAACCTGCTATAAATCTATCAAAAATGGAGTGAGGTGAGCCATGAAAAAGGAGTCATTTATTCCTTCTTTGCATTCTCCAGCTATTGTAGAATACATTTTCTTCTTCTGTGAATTAAGTATGAAGAGAAAGATGGCCCACCCTTCCTTAAAAGATGCATCTCAAGTTTGATGTCTTTTTAGATTCTTATAGTAAGGTGTTCTACAAGTAGAGTCTGGCACAGCTAAAAAAAAAAGTCCTGCACTTTCTTCCCAAGCATTAGGCTGGACCTGAGTAGTTTCATTGGTCCAGTAGATAACTGGAGTCTATCATTGCTCACTTACGACAGATTCTGTAATATAATTCTAAACTATTAATTGATTCTATAGTTCTGTTTTTAATTCAACTTAATAGACAAGCAGTAGAATTTGAAGTTCTGGTAGAGAGCAACTGTCTTGCCTTAATTTTTACATCATCTTTGCCTTAAAATCCTGGGCAGGGTGAATTTCAGTTATCTGGTCTAAAACTTGTAAACAGATTAATACGCATACCTGATTTCCTCCTTGTTTAGCAGCATGGGGATGGTTGGTGGCCTATTTGTTTGTTTATTTATCATTCCCTCTAGCACTTTGGAACACAGAATCTGAATGAAGTGCTAGTATATTATTATGGCAGAAGATTTTTTTAAAAAAGAATTTAAACTCTGGCTGTGTCCTGTCCTTGAAGATCACCCACTCCTGAGAGCCACTCCTGGCTTTTGTTCTTTTCAAGAAGAAACTTACAACAGTGTTGCAACAATGGGGTAGCTTTTATAATCCATTTTATGTCCAACTCCATTTGAAGGACTTGAGTATAAAACCTATTTTGAAAGTTTTCTCTGCACTTTTCTCCACGGTGAAATGAAGACATTTATACATACTAAAATGTTGAATAAGACCAAAAAAATTAATTCTGCTCACTGGCTGTTGGCTGACAAAGCAAGCTAAGCCATTGCTGAGTAGTCTTGAAAGTCCTATCTTAGTGTGTAAAAAAAAAAAAACAACCCACTGGTTGCATTTTATTTCATGTCATTGTCTTTTATATCACTATGCACTTTGGTTTTATTGCTATAAAGCACATATTCATGCTCCTGAAAGTTCATCTAACTTCTGCTTTGTTTGCTGTAAACATGACAGCTTGTGTCATTTTATGGATGCATATTTCCTTTTTTCCTGTAGCTGCTGTTAACTAACTTAAAATATGTTGAATTCAACTAGTGGAAGGTTTGATGATCAGCCATGGGTTAGTCATGTTTTCTAAGATTTGTAAAGCTGCCCTTGCTTCTGGCTACTTGCTGACTTCTGAAATGATCCTCTTGCACTACAGATATAAATTATATTTATTTTGTATAATTCATGAATCATTATACACTAGGGAGACTGTCTTCTCTTTTTTTTCCTTTCTTTTAAACTTCTTACAAAACATTTCTGTGGGAGGATGACATATGTGTATGTATATTTTATATTTTACATAGTTATTATTTATTTAGAAGTTACCTATTAAATAATTCATGGTTAGTATTCATTGTTCATTCTGGGACTGATTTCAGTTTTATCTATGTGTGCTTTTTTTTTTTTCTCTGCCAGAAGAAAGGAATTATATGATATACTTTACTTATTTTAAGTGCTCTTTGTAATTCTTGGACTACATTCTTGGACTAGGCCTCTGAGCTTGGAGGCTGGTGCAGATAGATAGGTACTATCCCTTTATTCATGAACACATTCTAAGAAGTTCTTTAGTTGTTAGTGGGATTAAAAAATAAATTATTGTAAAAGGCATATTTTTTTGAACTTTCATTTCCTTTCCTGTGTTGGTAGAAGTCCTGTAATAAAGAGTACAGTGGGCTAATTGTTGATGTACAAGTGAAAGAATTTCAAAAATTAGTGATTAATTAGAGTAATGCTCACCATTGCATCTGTATTTTGCAATGTATGTTTGTTCGCAACAGAGGATCTTTGCTGAGCAGCAGACTTTACCTTTTAATAAAATTGGCAACCTCTCCAAAAATGTGGCAAAGACTTGGAACTTATTTTGTGCCTTTTTATATTTTAGTAAATACACTACATTAGAGCTATTCTCTCATTCTGACCTTTAAATCAATTATTGGGCATCTGGTATTTGCTAATGTCTCACCTTGGTTCCATATGAGAGGAACAGACAGAGAGGGAGAAGGAAAAAGCAGCAGGGATACGGTATGATTTTTGTCTTGGGGGAGGGGGGGATGGAGAGGGGGAAAAAAGGAGAGGGGAAAAGGAGAGAAGTTTCAAAATTTATAGTAAATAGACACAGAATGAATGATGCCTTTCCCTGTGACCAAATTTAATGCACACAGGGATCTTTCTTCATCGCAAGTGGCGGGAAGGTTCCTTTTACCTGGGCAGTAAGTAGTTCAAGAAGTTCACGTCAATACATTTTTGTCTTTTTTATTAAGTTTGATAAAACAAAACTATGATTATCAACTAAAGGAATCATGTATTGTGTGTACTCTTTTGAGTAAGAACTGTTTACATTAGGCCTACCTCTTAGTTCACAGAAAGAGGAGAAAGGAGGAAAAAAAGGCACGAGAAAGGAAGAAGGAGATAATATACTGTAGAATAGTTAGATAAGGAAAGGAAAAATTACTTCTCTTTTGGGCTTTGTCTCATTCTCATTCTAATAGCTTTCTACTTTTAGCTTACCCAGTGAAAGGTATCTTACTATCTTTTCTGCTGGCTCTGCTGCAGAGGTTGTTACCAGTCAATGCAGAAGGATAGTAACTTCTAAAATGTCTACAGCAATTCTTCCAGGAGTAATTTTAGCTCCACTAAGATAACATCAAAGTAGTAATTGCTTGAATTTGTAGCCTTTGTAATAAAACATAATACGTGAGTGAGAATACTTTTTTATACTAAATATTCTTATTTGGCAAAGTGTTTGTGTGTTCTACATTAACTACTTCAACCTGTTAATTTAAAATATATTTTACAGTAAGACTTGTCCAAATTCTGCAAGTTTAAACAAAATGTATTTAACATTAAATACAGGACCACATTTCTCATAAATCTATATATATGTAAAAGTGGAATGTTTGCATAGTTTTTTTATATATACATATATTTGCCATTAGGATAAATTTTCCATTATTTACCTCACTGTTGAATTAGGAAGTCTTGGATAACTGTAATAGCTTCTGTGTGGATGGAATTATAAAACCAAGTAATCTGAAAAAATAGTATTCTTTCTGTGGAGGCAGCTGTTTGCTTTATAGGCTCAGCTTTATGATGGTACTCACTGGTGTTTGCAGTTGTGTTCCTATGAAATATGATGCAGTTCTGATGGATAGGTGCAAGCACCGGAATTGTGGCTGTGAATTTTCAAGCTCAGGCTGGTTCTAAAACAACTGAGCTATTGATACAAATGTCTCAATAATACACATTGTGCTTGCATCATTTCAGATATGCTGTTTCTGGGAAGATTACCATATTATCTGTGGTTTGGAAAGATGAGTGTGTACATACGCTATGAATTTGTGTATAAACAAAATGCATTTTTGATATATTCAGTTTCTTCTTTTTTTGGTAGATATGTTACAAAACGGTGTTTTATATTCCACTTTCTTACTGCATTTTTATCATAAAGCATCATACAAAAATCGTCTTCAAAATTACTTCTTTTACAGATAGTTCTGTCCTTGAGAAGATGGGAGACAGTAATCACAGGTGGCAGATATTAACCATATTGTTTAGTACAGTAGTTGAACCTTTAGGTACACTATTGATAAAGACTATTAAAATTCCTCAATTGCATGATGTAGATTATAGTTTATTTTAGAGTTCTAAATTAGGAAAAACGTATAGGAATGTCTTGAAAGTAAAACAGATTTTTTGGCTTTTTTCTATGTTATTGTTTTAGAGACTTATTACTATGTATCTCCTTTGGTTGGTGCCTTTTTTTTGGCTCTGACTCCGATGGGGATTGTCATAGCTGCCAAACACCCAGCTACCAGAACTGTCCTCCATTCAGGATGGGAGCCTGTTATAACTGCCATGGTTATAAGCAGGTAAGTCTATTTGTCTTGCTTCGTCTTGATAGTCATCCTGTGTCTCTGTATATCATCTTTAACACCTGATTGTACTTAAGAGAAACATTTAAGGAGTCTCTAGATTGTAGCATGTGAATAAACTTGAATCTTCCCAAAACGAGGAAGTTACAAAGTTAAGTCAGAGCTGGGAATGAGCAAGGGAGCCGGCAGTAGCCCATGGCCACGACTAAGCAGAAGTGTGCCTTATCAAATGAAGGAAATGGTGAGCTGTTCATCTCCTGCAGTTTCCAATCAAGATTATACACTGATCTAAGAGATTATTTAATCCAATGAAAGTTATGAATCTTAAAAGTGGACTGATTGACTGAAATTCTATGGTGTTTGTTATACAGGAAGTTGATTTTAATATATAGCTAACTATAGTGATGTTAGTCTTTAGCTGAGAATGAGGTAATGGGGTAGGGGGAAATATGAATTGAGAAGAAAATTGTGACTTGAAGATGTTCTAAGACAGATTGCTAAAAAAGCTTTTAAATACTAATTAAGGTACCTGCTTGCCCTATTCTAAATTTTGTACTTTGTTTTTCAGTATTGGTGGCCTTATTCTGGACACAACTGTATCTGATCCTAACTTAGTTGGAATTGTTGTTTATACCCCGGTAATTAATGGTAAGACTCTGACAGGATTGTGTGCTACTATATATTAATTGATATACCTTGGTTTGAGAAAAGTCTATTGTGGTAAATTTCTAATGCTAATTAAATGCTAATTAAGATCTGGTATATTAATTTCAAGTTTGGTTTTGATGTCAACTGTTGTTTATTTCAACACTTAAGGAGTGTTTCCTGATCTTATTTACTGCAACCATTAAAACATGATACAGAATGTGAGAAGTAGGAACCTAAAGTATGCATTAAGAAACTGAAAGTGTAAGTATTGAAGTAGAAGAATTTAATATTCAAATATTAAACGATCAAATATTATATTGAAATGGTTATGGCTGAGGAAAATATGAAGTTTTATTTCAAAGGTTTTTCTTAGGAACATCCAAGGACAAATTTTCAAAACAGTAATTTACTATTTACGTGTAATGTACATGGTTATAAGAACTAACAGGGATGCTACAGGCAAGTAAATAGATTTCTCAAGAAAAATGCATGTTTTTTCCCATGCTTGGTATGTACCTTCCAGCTATTTAAGCATGTATTTGTGAAAATATGGTTCTTAAGTTAAGTGTTCTATCTTCTAACGATAACAACAAGGCAAATTTTATAAGAACAGTTAATATCTTGTTAGACTGATGCAGTTCATCTGGATTTTTCATGCTTAGCTCCTTCTTCTCTTGTTATGTGTAAGGCAGTCTTTTCCCAGCTCTCAAAGTTTAAACTTATTCAGTGACTAGTAATGGACCATCAGTAAGTTGTTTGTAGTCCTGTGTCTGTATTTTCAGGACCTTTACTATTAACCCAGACTTAGACTCTACATTGTAAGAAGAGAAACCTAATACCAAGCTCCTTTTTGGAACTCATGACAAACTCACAACAAGCCTAATAGGCCAGGACTAGAGTCTTGCAACGGTAGCATTAAGTAAAGTTAGCCTAAGGCCCATGGCCTGTTACCACCCACAACAATATTGCTTTTGCACTGCCACTGGGCAACAACAGAAGCACTAAGGAATTCAGGTTTTCCCTCATCCACAAAAGAGCAGAGGGGCGTAATGTGTACGTGTTGTATGTGTATGTGCTAACACCCTCAACCCTCAGAATTCTAAGGATAGAGGCATTTCTGTTGGAAAATATGGAGAAAATGTGTTCTGTGTAGAGGATGCAACGTGGGCCTGTTTTATGGTACACCTCCTGGAAAAGGAAATTGTAAGTAGGTGATTTTTTTTGGTTGCTGTTAGATTAACCTCTCCTGGGTTTCATAATTCTACTGATACCTTTTGATATTGCTGGTCAGTATAGTGTAGTAAACTGGGGTTTAGGAAATCTTTCAGTTAAAAAAGCACATCCGTTGACACTCATTTACTGACATAAAGGGTGTGTTAGACCACTTAACAGATAGCTTTTGAAATATTACTGTTGCAGAAAGCTTTCTCTACCAGTGGTTTCCTGGCCTTGGAATTCTCATTGTAAGCCTAAGTAGCAAAAGAGCTGAGGGGTTCCCCTCAAAATGATTTTCAGATGCCTTTTCCTTTCTCTTACCTTAAAGTTCGTTGCTCCTATGAACAAAAAACCTGAAAGAAACCCGGGAAACCTGAAAGAAATATTGTAACCTATTGGGATTGTGTTCAGCCAAAATTTGAGGACAGTGTAAATTTGTCCAGGATTTCAAGCTGTCACCTTTTTTTCAGTGCCAGTTGCCATATCTTGAAATCCTAAACAGTATGCACTGCAAAGTTGTCAGGTGTTAGGCTTCCTGTGTGTGCCATTAAATAGCTTTCCACCTAGTCCTGTCTAGATGGTTTGCATATGCTTAGATGTGAGACAAGTTACTTTCATCCCATATGTTACAGTGTGGAGCCATAAATCTTTTGGTTTAAGAAATATTGGTCTGGAATTTGAGCAACCTCGAAGGTTCCTACCCCTAATAACTGCAAATATTTGCCAAGAATATTAAAATAGTTCTTAAGCAGACAGGCATTTATAGTCAGCTTTACTGCTGGTGGCCGGAAGTATTTCACAACTACTTTTCCGTTTTTCCCGTTAAACATATTTCTTGAGATGAATAATTATTTTTGATTCTATGGTTGGTTGGGTTAAATTGCTTTTTTAAAATAAATAATTAATTTTGTGGTTTCAGCCATTGTGGTACTTACAAACTATTTGAGATTTAGACGTCTGTGTTTGAGGCATTGAAGTTCTGAATAAAATAACTAAGCCCAAGTGTGGCTGTGCTTCAGCCTAGATAGTCAAGTTGATCTTTAAGTTTTCTAATGGATGAGATGGTGAAAATTTGCAAATCCTCTTACAGCATCACAGCATGTTGAATTTGGCTCAGGAATTGCAATTTGCAAGTAATCGAGTTCCTTTTGTGTGGAAAAAAGATAATACCTTAAACAATTATATGCTCCTGAATATGCAGCAGAAATGAATTAAGCGGATCCAGCCGGATACAGCCACTTTCCTCTCCATTTTCATTGTATGCTTAGATAAAGCATTGTGAGATATCTTCTAAGTGTTTGCATTTCAGGAGTTAACTGCATAATAACCAACATGTTGGTAGGCTTTGCCCCATTTTTATGCATCTCGTAGAATGGAGGCTCTGAAAATTAATTCTGAAAACACCTGAAAATCAGAAATGCTTTGCAGGCTTTATGTCGAAAAACTTGCCTTTGCATATGATTTGAAGCAATACTCTTTGAGGGTAACACGAACTTGTTATAATATTTCTTACTCTTTGGCTGTACATATTGTAAGAGTATTTGATATCTGGAGGGAATAAATGTAGGTCAAGGAATATGAGAAACCCAAATGAAGGGAACAGAAGGTCCAGTATGCAGACTAGACCCACTTCTTAGGGAAGCCTGCTGCCTCCCTGGAGCCTGGGTTAAAGATGTGAAGAGAAAACTTCCTACCCTGGTATGGCCCTTGGATTATTAGCCGTTATTGATTTTTCTGATAGGCAGTGATGAAGTTGCAACAAGAAGACCAAGGGCAACCAAGAGAGACTTCAGGACCTTGGGATGACTGGTTAAGGGATCGGGAGTACAAGTAGTGTTCTCCTCGGTCCTTCCAGTTGCAGGGAATGATGAGGGAAGAAACAGGGAGAGCCAGTAGATCAATAACTGGCTCCGAGCCTGATGTCACCGGTAGAATTTTGGGTTTTTTGATCATGCATCAGTCTACATGACACCAAGCCTGCTGGCGACAAATGGGGTACACCTGTCTCAAAGGGGGAAAAAGATCTTTGCACAGCAGTTAGCAATGAGCAGTTAGCTCACTGAAAGAACTTTAAACTAGGTTTGAAGGGGGAAAGGGATAAAACCAGGCTTGCTGGAGATAAGCCCAGGGATGGCACGCCAATGTTTGAGCGATGGTGTGCTAGCAAGGTCCTTTGGTCTGCCATCTCAGTGGAGGTAGGGGATGGAGATCCACATGGCATCAAAGATGCAAGGGTTATCAATGTGTTAGAAAGCACAGAAGCGCCTGAGAATGGTCAAGTAGGAATTAGCGCTTCTCCCCCCGAAAAGGTGGTGGGATCAATAGCCCAACTGAAGTGCACACACCACAGGCAACAAACAGGAGGAGCTGGAAGCCATTGTGCAGAAGGAAAACTATGATACAGTTGCCATCACAGAAACACAGTGGGATGAGCTGCACACGTGGAGTGCTGCAATGGGTGGCTCTAAACTCTTCAGAATGGATAGGCAGGGAAGGAGAGGCAGTGGGGTAGCCCTGTATGTTAGGGAGAGTTTTGATTGTCTGGAGCTTAACGATGATGACGATAGGGTTGAGGGTTTATGGGTGAGAACCAGGAGGAAGGTCAACAAGGCAGACATCATGGTGGGAGTCTGTTATAGACCACCAAACCATGATGAAGAGGCAGCTGAAATATTCTATAAGCAGCTGGGAGAAGTCTCACAATCTCTAGGCCTTCCTTGTTCTCCTGGGGGACTTCAACTTCCCAGATGTCTACTGGAAAGTACAGCAGTACAGCAGAAAGGAAACAGTCTAGGAGGTTCCTGGAGCGTGTGGAAGAGAACTTCCTGATACTGCTGGTGAGGGAGCCAGCTAGGGAAGGCTCTCACTGGACCCGTTGTTAGTGACCAGAGAAGGACTTGGGGGTGATGTGGTGGTTGGAGGACATCTTGGGCATAGTGATCACGAAATGATAGGGTTTTTGATTCTTGGAGACATAAGGAGGGGGATCAGCAGAACTGCTACCTTGAATTTCTGGAGGACAGACTTTGGCCAGTTTAGAAGACTGGTTGATAGAGTCCCTTGGGAGGCAGTCCTGAAGGACAAAGGAGTCCAGGAAGGCTGGACATTCTTCAAGAAGGAAATCTTAAAAGCGAGGAGCAGGCCGTCCTCATGTGCTGAAAGATGAGCCGGTGGGGAAGAAGACTGGCCTGGCTGAACAGAGAGCTTTGGCTGGAACTCAGGAAAAAAAGAGGGTTTATGACCTTTGGAAGAAGGGGCAGGCTACTCGGGAGGTCTACAAGGATGTCATGAGGTTATGCAGGGCGAAAATTAGAAGAGCCAAAGCCCAGCTAGAACTTAATCTGGCTGCTGTCATAAAAGATAATAAAAAATGTTTCTATAAATATGTGAGCAACAAAAGGAGAGCTAAGGAGAAT